ACCCACCCAGCCATTCGCTCGCTCCTCCCCCACCAAGTGGGATGGGGAGAGTATTGAAAAGAAAAGAAAAAAAGGTAAAACTTGTGGGTTGAGATAAAGACAGTTTAATAGGACAGAAAAGGAATAATAATAATAACAATAATAATAATACTAGAATACACAAAACAGGTGATGCACAGCACAATTGCTCACCAACCGAAGCCAATACTCAGCTAGTTCTCAAGTGGAACTGTCTCCTGGCCCACCTCCTAATTTTATACAGACCATGACATCATATGGTATGGAATATCCCTTTGGCCAGTTTGGATCAGCTGTCCTGGCTGTGTCCCCTCCCAGCTTCTCAGGAACCCCCAACCTTCTCATTGGCAGGGCAGTATGAGAAGCTAAGAAGTCCTTGATTGCTTGGCAACAACTAAAATATTAGTGTTATCAACATTTTTCTCATACTAAATCCAAAACATAGCACTATACCCGCTGATAGAAAGAACTCTATGTCAGCTGAAACCAGGACATGCGGAAACATGGATCCAAAGGAAAACTGGACAAACTCATGGAAAGTTACTAAATACATAAACATAAAAACATAGACACTACAGTCAGCTTAAGAAGCCCTTAGACTGGAACTGGTTGGTGACTTGAGGAAAGTACCATATATGCTTGTCTGTTCTTACACTTTTCAAGTATCTAACTACTCTTGGAGACTAGATCAGAGGGACCTAGTGTTGCCATTGTTATGGCACAAATCCAAAATCTTTCCAAGTGAAAAAAGGAAGACAGAAGAAAAGAGACATTCATGTACTCACTTGGAAGATGAGCTAATAAGGTACTAGTCCTTACTGTGCCCATTTGAGATCCAGTGTTTGCAACCCTCTCTGCTGGGCTATTGTTTCTTCTGGAGTTTACCTCTCAATCTCACTAATTGACAGAAGATTTAATTGAATGCACATTTAACTGCTACCGGTAGCTGCTTAACAGTCTTGGTCCCTTGGAGATTCAGTTGCTTATTCCTGATTGTGCTGTGTAATTCATGGGGGGCTCTGGATGTTTGGTGATTTGTTGTGCTGTTTTTTCTGCATTGGAAACCTGTAGTTAGTAACCTTCGAAAGTTGTGTAAGGCTTCGTTCATAAGTCTTTGTATCCTTTCGTGGGAGATGGTATAGTGAAGCAAAGGCATCATATTACATAAAATCAAGTATGTGGCAGTCCTTTGAAGTCCTTGCACTAATGTCTCACGTTGCTTTTGAGAAGTTGTTTTATATTTTTGCTTCAGTTTGCATATCTATGAGACTTTCTTTCTCATCTTCTTGGATAACTGGTCAGTTCTGGCACACAGCCTTCCATTTCTATTAATAATTCAAAGTACTCAGCCAAACTGTACCATACTCCAATATGTATTACCGAAACTGTTCCAGGAACAGCAAGCAAAGAAATTATTTCCTTTATGTTTTATTGGAACTGTAAACCAGGATAATAGTTATGTTTGAAAAGAAACTGTAACAAGTAATAATTTCCCCAAAGACTGCTAACTAGATGTATGGCCACAAAATATAAACTCAGACAAGAGATCATGGCAGAATCCAGCAAATAAGTATTAATGTTTATTCTAAAAACAAAGCTATAGAAATAAGGGCTACTTGAGAGCAAATATTTACTCGGATTCTCAGCACTTTCTATATATGAATATAAAATAACAGCCTATCACTAAGTGCATATCTCTATTAGTGTGACAGTAACTGGAACAACATGTAGTGTAACACACAGTTACAGGAATAACCTCAACGCATCACCTCGTCCACCTATTTATATAAGGACAGGATGACACATGTTTAGATACTTCTTAACTGATGTTTTCAAACAATCAGCCTGTCACAATGCTTTTCTTGTATAAGAAAAGCTTGTCCTAGTATCCAGCTTTTTTTTTTTTTGCTGTAAACAAAACTAAATACTTCATGTCACCTCCACTCAGTGAGGATAGTATTGCTTTCTTTATAAGGATCTTTACGGCATTATGGGACCTGTGTTTTTCAGGAAAAAAGTCTCTTTTTAGAGCAAAAAAAAGTTTATTCCTTACATTTGTCCTTACAGCCCATCTGTTCTAACCTCTCTGTCACCCCCAGGACTATCTCATGAGACTATGTTTTCCTTAAAGTTTGATGTCTAGAGCTGTGCGTAGCTATTCTTCTCCATCAGGCTACAGCAAAAGACCAATAAACTGCACATTAGGTCTGATGTTCATGTTTCATTGTAAGATTCTTGACTGCAGTTCTGGGGCCTGGCCAGTTGTTCCTGTGTTGCATTTAAACATTTGATTACCTTTTCTTCAGCTTCCTACTGTGCAATCCTTTGTCTTTTTATAATTTAATTTGGTTGATTTGTGTTCTGTCTCTAATTTCTTAAGGAATCATAGAATCATGGAACGAATCACAGAATGGTTTGGGTTGGAAGGGACCTCAAAGATCATCTAGTTCCAACCCCCTGCCATGGGCAGGGACACCCTCCACTAGACCAGGTTGCCCAAAGCCCCATCCAACCTGGCCTTGAACACTTCCAGGGATGGGGCTGCCACAACCTCTCTGGGCAACCTGTTCCAGTGCCTCACCACCCTCACAGTAAAGAATTTCTTCCTGACATCTAATCTAAATGTACCCTTTTTTAATTTAATGCCATTACCCCTTGTCTTATCGCTACTCCCCCTGATGAACAGCCTCTAACCATCTTTCCTGTAGGCCCCTTCAGGTACTGGAAGGCCACAATTAGGTCTCCCCAGACCTCTCCCAGGTCTCTTCAGGCTCTGCAAGTTAATTAAAAATTAACTTTTAATTCTTATCCTACAGTACTACCCTTTCCAGTTCAATATTAGCTCTGTGTTCTAGATCTTCATCAGAATGTTTAATGTGTATCTTATTCTCCATTACTACAAAAAGAGAGAGCTCATTTTAAAACAGTAGCAAAATCTAGGCAAAACAAAAAGTGCTCTGTGGCCCACAAACCTGCATTTTTCCAGACTTTTTTGTCCTGTTTTCAGTGCATTTGATATTTCTATTTTTATGAAGATGAGTAAAGTCAACGGATGCGCTACTGGAGATATGCATACTATAGATATGTAGATACAGTTGACGTGCATTAAGTGCTGCTGTGGGTTATTCTGTATACTCATTTGAATGTCAGATCCCCTTATACTGCTTGATCTTACTGGTCTTTTCTGTTTGTGCTGTATGCAAGCATCAACACTTCTGCAAGTAAGATCAGGCTCTCCTTAATTTCAAGGAGGTGAAAGAGACGTTGTTTCAGAAGGAAATCTAGACTTGCCTTCATCTCGTGAGAATGATATTTTCTACCCATACTATGCAGTGTAATTCAGTCTTCTGGTTTCTTTTCTGAAAAAAAATTAAGTTCCTCAATTTATTCCAGGCAGGTGAAAGCCAGCTCCTAACTGGAAGCCACTTCTGAGTCCAGGTGGAGTGTACTCATATTTTGGCAAAAGCCAATGTAGACTCACATACACACAAATTTATTTCTGAGGGAGGAACTGTAGTATTTCCTGTATTCATTAAACTGCCTATAAACAGAATATTAAATGTCTGATAGTCTAGGGCTATTTACTATGAAGTTATATGCATACTGAGAATCTACCTGCAAAAAGAGTGGTTCAATTTAAGGCAACAACATTTAGGTTAATATTATTGAGACATTTTCAAGTGGGAATCATAAGCACAATGTTTTGAAATGTTCCTCAATATGCTTTTAAAGTCAGATATACAGCTGACATCATCTTCAGTGGCAGATAAAAGCAGTGAGTTAGGGATTGCAGTAATGCCTGATTAGTGCTTTTGTGAGTAGGGCTATATTTGCATGTAATTTTGACGTTTGCTATACACATGCATTGTTCTTTTATAATTGTGCCTGTCTGGTTCCTCACTATCATAATAGTAAAACAATTCTGTATTTGCAAGTTATACCCCTGTGTTGAATGTGAAAGCTTATCATTTTCTGACAGGTACTGTATAATGAAATGTTAAAATTTAATCTACTAAATGCAAATGCAATAACCAGTTAATTATGCAGCAGTAAAAATAACATATTTGTTTATTTTCAGATGTCACTCCTCCACCAGCTGCTGGATACTTGGAAGTAACAGATCTTAACTCAAAGAAAATCAAATACATTGCTATTCCTAGGTAACTGATTTTATTGATTAGAGCAGCCTCTGTCTTACAGGAAGAACAAAGAGAATTTAGTGTGTAGTATCACTTCAGGATAAGCAAATATTTCTTCTGATATGGAAAGTAAGAATAATTCATACTTAGAGTGTAAAATTCTGCAACTATTGTAGCATATTTTTGTCAACATTTTTTATCTTTTTATTGGGTGATACTGATGAAAATATAGCAATTAATTAATAAATATGAAAGGTAGCTTTATCTTCTGATTTTCATTCCCTTTGCTCTTTCCTCCTCTTCACCCACTTTACCCTCTTCAATTTTGTTTCGCTATCTTTATATTCTTTTCCTTTCTCTTTAGGGTCTAACAAAGATAGGCAGAATGATTCAGTTCTAGGTGTTAGGAAACCAGGAATCAAGTTCTGGTTCAATATAAAGTTCATCTTGAATATAACTTGAGCTTCCCTATGTTTTAGTTCTCCCTTTGAAAAATATATATTTCCTCACAAGTATCTTGCATGATACATTAAAACAGCCAGACTATGTGGCTTCTGTGTGGTTTTAACATCTATCTCTAACCATTGTAGAGCATATTTGCAAATATTTTATGATATAAATATATATTTTGGTTACAAATTGTCATTTTCCACTGCAATAATATTTTTGTTGTTGTTTTAAATAGCAGTCCCTCCATTTCGCATGCTTAAATAGCACGTGCATGAAACCCACACATCAGGAATTTTATACATTTTTTTTGAGTCTATCCGTGTAGTGTTGGGTTTGACAATATTAATTGATTCTCATTTAAATTAATGGTGCTTCATTAATCATCTGTGGAATTTTTTCATTAATAGAGAATTAATTTTGGACTGTTCACCATTTTATAATTGATCCATTGGCCTATATCTTACACAGTCATTCAAAAATGTAAGGCATTAACACAGAAATAAAAGTGAGTTACACTTTATTTTACACTAGGATTTTATAAAAAATTACAAAAATTACAAAGCCAAACTTCGACATCATGACCCTTAAATAGCTTAAATCCTCATATTAGGTTATGGCAAATCTGAGCAGAAGTCCACATTTCGTAATGCACTCCATTAACAACTGATAAATAAAGTGACTTTTCATATATTTGAATAGTTCCATGCTAAAATCTAAAAACCTTTCCTCCTTCTGGCATAGTTTGCCTGGTCAAATGCGAAGATAACTTTTCTTTAGTTGAATTAGTACGTGGTGATTTCAGTCATTGTTAGAGGCATGTGTGTTGCTGCTTCTTTTGTCTTCGAAGATATTGATTGTAGTATTAGTGCAAGTTGCCAAGTTATAATGCATGTCATCAGAAGTACTGAAAACTGAAAAAATACCTTTCCTACTTTATCTAAATATCCCTTCATATTATATAGCTATTAGGTTCTCTGTTTCAGCAGTAAATTTTTGTCTGCAAGTTGACTGTTTAAAACGGTGCTGAAATTCTCTGTGCATAAAGCTGTGCCATCTTTAAATGAGTGTTTAAATCTTCATGTTTTATTGAAGCACTAGAGAAAGGTATTACTTTAAGTTGATAGAAAAGTATTTTCCTCAGTGCCAAGGTCATGTTCTCTCCTATTTCTTTTGTAGTTTTATATTTTTCTATAACATATTTTTAAATTTTTCATATTTGTTATAGTTTTTTGTAAAGACTGTTTTCAGATGGATGAGATATAGCACTGAGATAGGCAACGTATTCCCTTTCAGCCTGGTCTTTCGTACTGCTTTTTATACTGACAAGTACTTTTTGGTCATATCCAGTTTCAGTAGGTGGAATGTTTCAGATAAAATAGTGGGTCTGCAGGGCTTAGTTACAGTCTCTCATTTCATTTAATTGTAATTTCATTTAATTGTCACCTTAACTACAGAAATACTGAGCCTCTTTTTAATTGCACCTTCACGAAAAATCACATTAACTCTTGTTTTTCAGGTCACAATCTCTCTCTCCTTATACATCTTGGCTCTCTAAGATCTCGGATGCCGATGCCCTGTTGGCACCACTGGGCAAAGTAGGTTTGGTTAGTGTGGACATGGGAGGAGGTGTGAGGCTGTGGGAGACCGGGCTGGAGAGTCTCCAGCGGTCGCTGCAGGACTGGAGGAACATGATTGGCCAAGAAGATGGTCGTCCTGTGCAGGTAGGACTTCACAAAGCTGAAAAACATATAACAAAATGAGTTGCAAATGAGTTTTCAGCTGGGAAGAGGAGTCGAGGGAGAGCTGTGTTGAAAAACACTGCGAAGTAGAAATATGCCTGCAAGGAAAGTTGAATACATGTCTTCACTGAAAAAAAGACAGAATAGCTTAATTAGAAAGCTTATTTGTGACCTCTGTAATTATGGTTACTGACAGTCTCTTTCTCTTGCAGTGTTTGTATTTTTGCCAAATTCCGGTACATTTAAATGCAAATTAATTCTTTATCTCCTGCTGATTTTTAACTGCAACTTTCAAAATGTAGAATAATGAAATTAATTTTTAAGGAAAGCATATACTTTTCCAGAGTTCCAATACTAGGAAAAAATGATTGTATTTGTACTTTAGAAAAGAAACTTGAAAACCTAGGTGGAAGATGCCTTGAGTTCACAGTAGTGCCTTTGGCTAATTCTGAAAATTCTCCCAGCTGAGCAGAGTTACAAGTGTTTCCATATAGCCATGTTCTCACGTGGAATATTTAGGTAGATGTTGAAATATACAGCATATACATGTATGCTGTGTGTGCATGTATATACGTATACACAAGTATTAATGTACTGGCTAATATGTATGATCACTATTGCAACACAGAGGGAAAATTCAGGACTTTTCAATTGCATCTTTAATTTCTGTCAGTGGTTGGAGAAGGTACCGCTTTACTGCAAAGAACTAGAGCCTGCCTTAGGAGGACTTCACCTTTGACTAGGAAAATCCTGTCTCTATCCACCATTGCAGTTATTTCTGTTTCATAAATTTCTGTTGCCAGTTCCACAGTACATTAGAATGGGAAAACAAGGTAAGTCTTTTCTAAATTAGATCGCTCTATATTATTGTTTACAAGGTGTCCAGCTATCCCAGGTGTGACTCAGCTTTATTAAGCAGAAAATATAGCTGCTCTTTCACTTTCTTTTCCCGCTCTGACCTCCTTTTCTACAAGATGTTACAGAAACTTGTGCGAGAACTGACATGTTGTAGTTATTGGACCTCAACAAATGCCTGTCATAAAAGTCATGAGAAAAGGATACTGTTACCCCTTAGCACATTTGTGTGGTTGCTTGTTGCTTTACCAGTGCCATCTTTATTACCAATGCAGTAGCACTAGCACCATCTTATGGTCAGATATAGTCGGTTTACACCAGCCCAATTTCATCTACTGATCAAGTTGACTGGAAGAAATGAGAAGAGCCAGGAGGAACATTTAGAGTTTTACTTGGTTTAATAGTTGATTTTCCTTCCTTCCTTCCTTCCTTCCTTCCTTCCTTTTTTTGTTTTGATAACTTGTCATTTTATTCAACAGTATTACTGTACTGTCAGTAATAGTCAATTAAATATTAGAGAATACTGGCTTGGAAAGTACACATCATCAGAAAATTTTAAGTCATTTAACTAATCATCTCAAGTAACCATTTTTTAAAAAAGGCCAAGAAGTGTTTTCTGCCAGTCACAAGGCAATTTTCAAGATCTGTTGTTGAATTTCTCTCTCCTGACGGTCTGCCTCTCCAATTAGTTGGCACATTACAGGGTAAAGTCTTCTTTCCTCTGTCAACACAGTGCATATAGCTCAAGTCAGTGGTTTGTCAGAACTCAGAATGGCATAGTGTTTGATTTGAGCTGAGGGGCTGAAACAAGCCTCCTATCTGATCTTCAGATTTGTGTGATTATCACTAACTTCTGTTTCTCTACTTTGCACACTCTGCTTTAAATGGAAAGATAATGAGACCTAAGAAACTTTGTTTACAAAGGCTTTACACAGCAATAAGCAATAAATTAAATCTTTTATTTTATTTTATGTACATCTCCAATAAGATAATAGATACGTAGTTGCTGTGTAAACTCTATACTTTGCTATTTGGAGGTGAGGGCCTTCACCTTTCCTACTTAACTCAAATTTTCAATGGACCTAGACATAAAAACAGTACTTTATTAATGCATTCATTTCTGGAAACAAAAGGATCATGTTAGCTTGGAAACATTCATGTAGATTTTCTGTGTAAGGTAAGCATAGCAAGAACTGCAGTGTTTCCTGTTCTTTTGTTAAAGCTGCAGCTATTTCCCCATACCTTTTTTTACAGAACGCTTTTATGTTCAAGCGTATGAACATCACCTTCTTTTGTATAATGTTTCATCTTCATACTCATGTTGAGTATCTTGGAGTCTAATGAGGCATCTCTAATTCCTTGACTAAACCCATCATTCCCAGTCATCTTATAGCAGAAGCTCACTTAAGAAAGTTGTCAGTGTTCCACATATCACTAGAATTTATTCCCCACCCACCCCCAATTTCCCCTTCCCTAAAAACTGCCTTTGGTGCATCCCACAAGGCTACTACAGGCTTGGCAAAGCTCATTAGCCCTTCACGTTGATGTTCTTAGACCAACACGAGGCCTGTCTAGGTGATTGGGAACCACTGTTCTGCAAAACCACACAGAATCTCTCTGAAGCTTCTTGACTTCTGAGAGAAAAGAGAATTAAAGGGCTTTTGATATCAATATAGATTCAAAACACTAGAACTGGAAGTAAATCTTCAACCAGGCCTCAGTTGGAACTATTGGTACTATCTTCTAGGGCTGCATTTTAGCTTTCACAAACATATTAGATCTCAGAGACAGGCTGTATGTACATAAGCAATGAAACAGAGGAAAACAAACAGCTGTTCCACTTATAATCAGCAATTAAGCTCCCTTGATATAATGTCATGGCAGTCTTCAAAATAGTCAACGTTTGTTTTGTATTGTTGATATGCTCAGCAGAGTGTGAACTGCTGAAGTCTTGAGGCTACAAAAATAGTTTCTGGAAATATAGTTTATGTTTACGTAAGTTTGCATTTATATATGCAGGTCACAAATTTTCTTCATTTATTGAAGTTTTAAACTCAAAATATGAGTACAGTATTCTGAAATTATTGGAGTGCCTACAATACAATATCTAAACAAAATATTGGATTTTCTAAAGCTATGAACTCCATTTGAAATCCGAAAATTGTTGAGCTTTTTCACTGTTCGGTGTTTCTAAGAAAAAGGTCACTTCATTACCAAATATCTGAAAAGAATTTGAAAGACAATTATTTTTCAAATCTTGCCCTAAAAGTTTCATGGCAGTAGGCAGGCATTGATAAATTTGTGTTACTTTTTGCATCAAAGGGTTATTGATAGAAATCAAATAGAAAAAAAGCACTGATTACATTCTGATGTAGTTGGGCTGTTGTTTTTCAGTAAGCATTGTTTACTCGTATGTCTCTTTTAGGTAGAGTACAAGGTTTACATAAAAATAAATAAAAGGTGCCTCATTTAGAGGTATTTCAATAGATGGTAAAGCATTGTGCCCTTTAGGGACCTGAAATCTCTGCAATAAAATCTTCTTTCATTTATACATGATTATAAGCAAAAGCATTTATTTCTGTATTCATTCCACTTACTGCTCTCTTGCTTGTAGACTGTTGCCCAAAATGTTTTATGGTATGTAAAGATTGTACTTGGAATGTTGTTTTTAAACGTCCCAGGACATACCCAAGCCTGTTGAGTGCATAAAAATGTACTTGGTCAAAGATTACAGAAGAGTTGGCTTGTAATTAATGATAATATATATCTGAACCTCAAAATTGAATCACAATATTTTTGGCAATCCTTGTGCAGTCTTGATCTGACTATATCACCATGCAAAATGACATCCCAAAGCTGATGATAGTCTCTTGTTATTTCAGTACCAAGATTGTCCAAAGAAGTGATCTGATTGATTTAAAAAAAAAAAAAAAAACAAAAAAAAAACCCAAAACAAAAAAACCACCACCAACATTGTTGTAATCTGAAATTTATTAGGGGCTTATTTTGACAGGTTTGGGGCTTTTTGTGTCTGTGTTGTTTGATGTATGTGTGGAACCTGCAGTAGATGCATCATCTCTTACGTACATGAGATGAGTTTTTGAAATCACAATGCTGTGTGTTTGTGGCTATATATTAAGGCCTCATGAGTTAAGTAGTTGCCACTTTTTTGATTTCCGATGGACTCTTCTCTCTCATTTTCTATTGGCAGTATGGCAAGCCCTTCTCATAATTGTTCAGGTACCTAGCTGGAAATGAAATCATATTTTCATTTAAGTGAATAGTTAACAAGTGTTTGTGGGGAGGAGACTTCTTTCTATTTTTCCCATCTTTCTGCTGTAATCCTAAAACAGTGTCACATCTCCTGGAAGATCCCAGATCTTAAAGCTCAAGGCCTGCCTATTCTACAGTACACCGCTTCTTCAAGGATGGTTATTGCTTACACCTCTTTGGCCTAGGACAGAAGCCCACTCTACATAGATGTTCTGTATAGCGTGTGTTTTCCTCAGAAACTTAAAAGTCTGAAATGTTTGGCTCAGGCTGTATCTGCTGTAAGAGCTCAAGTGGGTTTATTAAACGATCCAGATAGATAGAATGTCAAGATCACATACTGTAGGACTGAACTAAGGAAAGGTACAGCAAATGTGAATTGAGTTGGCACCAGCCTTGCTAATACCAGCTGTTTAAAAGTAAAGTACTTGGCATTGATAGCTACCAGAAGTTTCTTCTGCTCCGGGTGGTAAAATTACACCTATAATTACCCATGAGCAAGTGCATATACTGTGTAGAACCTGAATAATAAAACACCTCCATCATCCTAGCTCTTCAGTCTCAAGACTGATGGGCAACACTCAGTTTGAAAAATCATGTACTTCTTTGTAGATGAGTCAGTCCAAAGGAAGCGTGTAAGAGAGATGCTGACACCTGCTCAGGGCAGGTTTCTACCCACCTGGTTCAAAAACATTTTGACACTGAAGACCATTCACATAGTGCCTATCAATAATAGTCCATCTATTGGGGCAGACCTTTATTTGACAGACCAGAAGCAGCTTGGAAATGTTCTCTCCCATTTTTTTTTCCCCACTTTGCTTTTGTGACTTGACCTGATCATTCTGTTTTCTAGCAAA